TGTAGAACTTTTTTTTTTTTTTTTTTTAGCTAAATTGGCCTTTTTTTTTTTCTCAGCTCTATAGAAATAAAGGTGACTTGAGTTGTCATGGAAATTCTCAATGCTAATCTGACTACTTCACCATTGACAATTCAAACAACCTCCTGTTGTCAATATAATTGGGTTGTCAAAAGTACAAACATCGGTATCAAGTCTGTACTGAAATGTTCAAAATGTGACAATACCAGCATTTCCCCCTAGCATTTTGAGCACTGTTGAGCTGAGTCTTAAATATCTCTGATTGGCCATTGTGTTCACACGCTCAACAGATATGTCTGTGATTGGCTACAATGATCATCGCTTCAAAATCATTGTAAATACACATCTAAGGCTACGTCCACACGAAGCCAGAGCTTTCCCTATCCAATTTTTTCCCCCTCGTCTCAAGAAATATCTGCGTCCACACGAAACTCGCAACACTTTTGTTTTTGCCCCCATTTTTCATGAGCTGAACTCAAAGATCTTTCCGTGTGGACGGGGCCTAAATCAAATATGCATGCTCTTCACTGAGCGTTTACACCGATACACATGGGAGTGTTTTAAAGCAGGCGTCTATCAGTGGATCTGTCTATGAGCGGATATATGTTATTCAGTCTAACGTCAAGTTAAAAGCAATTTAAATAAAAAATTCAATAAAACTATATTATTAATTTATAATTTTTCATGATACAATAAGGGTGGATAAAAATAAATAACTAAAAAATAACAATAATAAAAAGAAAAAGCATGACAAGTAAAAATGGAAGTAGTAAAATAAATATAAATACATACTATCAGCAGATAACAATGGAAAGTTGGGAAATACTAAGACAGAAAGTAGTAGGTGCACTTAAAACGGATTTCTAAATATCAGTGTAAAAGGAAATCTAGTAGTTTGAATGAAAAGGGTTAAATAGACAAATTAAGATTTAGCAAATTTTGTATGTATGATAAAAAGGGCTTCCAAATTTTAGAGAATGATTTGTTGGGCCGGTGAAGATAATTTTTTTCTTATGAAATATAAGACCTCTTTAATCCACCTAGAGTGTGATGAGAGATGGGAGTTTTTCCCATGATTTAAGCAAAATTTGTCATCTGGCCAGCAATGTGAGGAAAGCAATAAAATCAGCAAAATAGCGTGGTAGAAAATAATCGTCAGGCAGGACACCAAACAGGCCAATGAGGGGTGAGGATTGAATATTTGAAGAGGAAATGACTGAGAGAGAATTGAAAACAGACAACCAAAATGAGGAGAAGGCAGGGCAAGAACAAAACGTGTATTAGAGTGGCAGGACTAGAATGGCATTATCGCATTCAGGGTCAATGGCAGGATTAATAAGGGCCAGTCTACTTTTAGACCAATGTGCTCTGTGACAACTATACATTGTATCACTCCATGATGAGCACAAATAGAAGAGGAATTAACCTGATTGAGAAGTTCTGCCCAAGTCTCTTCCTCTATTTTTCATAACAATGACTTGGGACCAAATTATACGAAGTGAGTCGAAAGATGTAGACTGAAAAGAGAAGACTGCACTGTACAACTTTGAAATGGACCCCCTTTTACATGGATTGACACTTGTGGCGCTTTTCCACTGCATGGTACGGCACAGTACGGCTCGGTATGGTTCACTTTTGGGGGGTTTTCCACTGGGTACAGTACCTGGTACCTGGTACTTTTTTTAGTACCACCTCGGTTGGGGTTCCAAGTGAACCGTACCGTTACCAAAACGTGACGTGTAAACTCTGCTGATCACGGATTGGCCGGAGAGAATCGTCACTACCTGCGTCACTGAACTTGCGACACAAACACAAAAGAACCGCTAGATTTAAATCCGCACAGCCAGCAAAGGATCAAACGCAACTGTTTTGAACGAGCACACCTTTTTTTAACAACCAAAAGGTTTTGTTGTCTGTTGAGGAAGTACAGACGTTCCTCTCGTTGATAGCAGAGGAGCGGATCCAGCGAGAGCTTGATGGGGCGACGCGGAATGAAAAAGTTTTTTAGGAGTCGCGGCAGTAGAGGCAGCGCAACTATAACGACATGTGAATAATCCCGCCCACTCTAAAGCGGTACTGAACTGCAGTGGAAACGCAAACCGTGCCGAGCCGAGTCGTACCATGCAGTGGAAAAGCGCCATTAGAATCCTATCTACCTCGGAGGATGAAGTATTGTCTGGAAATTTAGGAATTTGTTTTTGTATGAAATCTCAAACCTGTAAATATCTTAAATTACTTTTTAGGAACATTAAAAGAATGAATTAACTGTGAGAAAGACACCAAAATATATTTTTAATCTTTTTTGATGTATGCATCATCTTACATGTCAAATTATTACAATTTATCAATAAATTCAATATACACTATAGGGCTGCTACCAGTCAAGATTAAATCATTTACACTGCAAATAACAATAATTACAACTGCAATAAATAATGTTATGAGATTAATGTTTTAAGTGCATTTATGAGTATACAAATAAGAAATGTTGAGGGGAAAAATGCATACTTTTCAACAAACTTCTCAACTAAACTACCAGTAAGTGGCGGTAAGTCACTAAATGAGTGAGTCATCGAGTCATTCATTCAACTGATTGAGTGTGTTATCATGCTGCTATCTTAAGGACCTTCGTGGACAGCTGACTCCTAAAGTTTTTGATATTTTTCATATTCTGTGTGGTGGTCAGATAGAAATTAATCTTTTCCAATAAGTTTAAGATTTTTACCTTTTATGGGCATTTTACCTTTAAAAAGCTATTTTTCTATAAGTGTGCATTATCTTTTGAGTCAAATTCTTACATTTAATCAGTGAATTAGAATAATAAGACATTTGGGCTGTTACCAAGCAAATGAAATCAGTATCAACAAAATTCATCTTTGCAATCCAGACATAAGCTGCACCTGAAGTGGCATTTAGATGTATTTACACACAGTTTAATGCAGAACATGAATGCATTTAACCTGCAGTTACGAATGCATAAATAATGTTTTGATATATTAAACATAAAACATTGAATACTCATATTTGAAATAATTAAAAAAATGAAAAGATAAATTAAAAAAAGATTAAATGTGCAATTAAAACCGCCAGTAGGTGGCAGTAAGTCACTGTTAAGTGAGTCATTGCGACTGAACCAAATCATTTAAACAGTTGATTAATTCGGGAACGAAAAGTTGTCATGTTGCTCAAAGACGCAAAACAGCGCTGTGGCTTTGTTTGGAATTATTTTTGTTGGCGAAATAGTGCAAAAACAGGCAATATGGTGTCTAAAACGTAAGTCTCTAAATAAAACTTCTAGTTCAATGAACTGTTGTAAAAAATCAATACCCCATGTCTGATCATTCTGAATGTATTTTAATAGACTGAATCATGCAGTGATCAAGCAGAGCGCTAGACGCGCTAGACTGTGCACTAGACTTCACGTAATGTGTGCACTCTG